TTAGAAGAACCACAGGCTCCAGAAAAAAACCTAAAATCTTCATTGGCTTCGACAATAGCCCTGGGTGTGAGAGACGAGAGGGGTAAGATGGGGGAAACCTGAAAGGAGGATGTGGTACCTTTTCCAGTTCCTGATCTGCAAAAAGTGTTCTTTTCCACTCCTTTGTTTTCTTTTGCTGAGGAACTGCCTCTGGATACCAGAGTAGGGATTTAATCTCAGCTGGTGCTTCAAAAACCACATCTTTGCTTAAAGTCACTCTCCCCCACATCAAGGGCAAAGCAGCAAATAAACCTTTTCCTATCAGCAAATATCAGCTGTATGAGTGCTCCTGCCTGTCAGCTGGCCAGCTTGGGTTATCCTGATGACATCCAACTCTTGTTTTGCTATACTGCTTAGCCCATAGGATCAAATCAAGTCCAGAGGCTTGAACCTTATCTTCAGTTACGTAGGTGACTCCAGCCAACCAACAATGAGATCATCTAAGGCTGTAAATCCCCTAATCGCGAAGACATTTGGCAAAATATCGTGGTTAATGCCTGTTTTCTGACAGACTATGACAGACTGCCAGAAGGACAGCAAGGTTTATTTTGCAGGAGATGGAAACATTTGGGAGTAAGGATCAGAACATGAGATTAACTCCTCAGGAACTAAGGCCATCATAAAGACTACCTCCAGTGCTAAAGCATTCCTCCCCTATTTCTTTATTTTAATGAAGAAAGAATAGAGCTCTGCCATTTTCCCTCCAGTGCCTTACCACCATCCAGTGGTCCTGTCCTTCCTCCCATCCATTCACTTGCTGTTTCAGATTCTCTAGACTGATAAAAGGAGGACAAACATAAGTAACTCCCAGTACATCTCCATCTTTTCCCTTTTAAGTCCCATGTGACACCATTAAGCAATATTTCAAGTCAAGCCTCATCCCTCCTCGGTAGCTTTTGAACTGTCTGCATTCACGCTCAAGGTTTCCTTTCCTCTGCTGCTTCTCAAGCTCACTGCCAGAGACGCCTCCCTCCAGTCATGGCAAATCATTTACTTGCCATCCTCAGGTTCATTTTCCCTTCTCAGATATAACCTGGTCTCCTTTACAAAAGGAAAATAACATAAAAAAAACTTTCTTCCAACCTGAACTACCTCTTTACTGCACACCCGGTCTGAAACAAACAGTACGACACAACCAGACAGGAATAAATGAGAAAGTGTTTTCTCTTTAATTCTTCTCTGGGACAAAGCTTTCCCTGGCCTCATCTTCTCAGGTAGTATAAGAGACCTAAAATAGCTTCTCTGACCTCTCAAAACGGGGCCAAGCATCTTGTAATAACTTAATAAAATGAGATGCTACATCATACACATAAAGGTGAAAAAATAGCCGTATAAGACAGACATCCCTCTACGTGTAATTAGATACTTAGATAAGGTACAAAAGTTGACATGACGCAAAGGCACTGCATTTGTTGCTATGATTCTAAAATATTTTGAAATAATAAAAATGTAAAATAAACTGAAATGCGAATTTAAAAAAAAATAGTGTTTTCTGATATAAATCACCTTATTGAATACAGCAACAAGCAGCCATTTTTGAATATGTTTTGCTTTTCTTTTTTCTCCTTGATTGATAAAATGACTTAACAACTAGTATAAATTATACCACAGTGTATGAAGCTGTAACAGCGTAGGAGGGCCTGGCCTTCAGGCTTGTGAAGCGTTTTGTGTGTAAACTATGATGAAGTCCATGAAGCGTTTTTCAGTGAAGTGAGAAATTGCTTAAAAAGCCTGAGAAGCACTTCTGTAGGGAATATTCCTGAAATGCTATTCATATGTATTATGAATTGTACTTTATTGTATATTTTGATTAATACGAATTTTTTGCTTCTGAAAAGAGAGAAAAACTTAGGAAGAGCCTTTTGACTCTCTTCTCACTTCTTTTTCCACTATTGCTTGCTTATTATCACTAGGAAAAAAATAGAATATTATTAAATAATTATTAGATTCATGCAAATCTAGGAGTGGGCAAAAGGGCAGAAGTGGGTAGTGCATCCCTCAACACAGTTATGCATTTTCTTTTAGAAAAGCATGAAAGTGTTTTTATTTTCCCTCAACATTGCACGTGATTGAACACTGTAATGAAAAATAGATTCTTCATAATGTGTGACTTGCCCAGATTTAGAGAGCTTTTGAAGTGTTACAGATTATCTACCAAGAAGTGAGGTGAGAAGTGCTTTTGAGCTGTGTATATAATTAATCCTACTGCACTCTGTAAGCAAACCACACTTACATACAGGACTCCAGAAATGATGAAAACCCACAAAGCTGGAGTTCAGACATTTTGAAAAAGTTTAAAAATAGGAAGTCTTCCATTACAGCATGCCGCTTCAGTCTAAATATTTTTTTGACAGAGCTTTTTCAGTTTTCAAATGCATGTAGGTTCTGGGAGTCTGGTGAAAGAAGAATGGTTGAAATCCATTTCCCTTCTTATGTCTCCTACCTTGACGTCATTGGTGAAGATACAAGAAAGGAAAATATACACGTACTGTTTTCTTGAGAGAGCGTGAACAAGAGTGTTTAGTCTATAATATAAAATATTTATTTTGTTAATTGCAAAATATTAGCTAGGAAATACATATTATCTAACATTCAGACAGTGTTGCAAGATAAACATCAGCAACTATGTGTTAGGACTTTTTCTTCCAAACAGTATATCATTTGCAGTGGAAAACTAAAGGCTACTGAACTGTTTTGTCAAGAAACTAAGAACAAGGCAGTTACTGGTAACAAGTTCTTTGACAGGCATGCAGAGGGAAAATGAAAGGCAGAGGGTGAGGACAGGTAGGAGAAATTTGTCAAGGTCTGAAAGGGAAGAGGAATATGGATTCAGAAATTACTACTAAGATAAGAGAAGTTGAACGGAATGACATTGCACATCTCTTTCTGGCAATAGAGTTGTTATGTATTTCTTAGAATGAGAGCAGAATACACCCCCCACCCCCCCAACCCCCTCATCTATGGGATGGATGTCTCAGATCAGTAGTCAAAAATGAAGAGGGAAAAATACAGAGCTAAAAGAGAACTAGAAATAAGGCAGGGAAAGAAAGTGAAGTAAAAATAGGAGTGAAATAAAAGAATGAAAAATGAGCTAAAATAAATAAGAAAAATATGAAGCTGTAGAGTTAAGTAATGTAAGAGGAAGAAAGTCCATGAAAGTACAGAGAAACTGAAAGAAAAACTGAGGAGAACATAATCTTCTACTGTGCAAATTACATCCCTTTAGAATGAACAGATATTTAATTTTGATTGACTTAATCCTCCCCCACTGCCAAGAAAGCCTACACTTCTCGAGTTCCATCAAAAATAACCCCCTACAATGATTTCTGAGAAAAACAAAAATCAAGTCAGAACATTTACTATGCACAATAAACGTATAGTACTGTATTCAATATGTGCCCACTCTAACAGTGGGAACAAATGTCTTCCTTTTGCAAAGAGAATTTAAGGAAATACATTTAATTGAGAGCAAGAAGAGAAATCATGGAAAGTGTCAACATTGCTGAAAACAAAACAAATATTTCATTCTCATTCTTCCAAGTATCAAAATTAAAGTATCACCATTTCAACAATGAGAATAATGTTGAAATTGTATGAAAGGAGAAGCATAGGCATCTAATGCAATAGATACTAAAACATACATTTAAGATCTTTCACATTACTGCATTCAACATCGACCGAGAAGGATGAAGTAGAGCTTTAACCATTACTAAAAAACACAACTGAGATGTAGAAGCTGGCCACTGTGCTAAGACTGTATAACTATGTACTAATTCACTACATAAAAAAGATGCAACATTTAATTAGATGAAGCACAGAACTGGTTGAACAAAGTCATCTTTTCTCCACTGAGTTGTAGTTTGATTTTGTTAGTTCTGCTGTCTCAGTCTAACGTTGCATGATATTTAATGTTTAGGTTTTAAAGCGATCTAATTCATATTCTGAAAGCTGTCATTTATGCAATGAAATCAGTAACTTTGTTCACTTCTGGGAAGGAGAAAAGTATTTTACTGCTTCTGTAATACCCTCCTTTTCCCAGACAATAAACTGGCAGTTACCATGATGTGGTTATGAGGGCAGCCTGTATTGCAGAAAGGCAGGTATCGGTACTGTCATACAATAATTAACAAGGTTACTTTTCACATTATAGTACCATAGTCGTGCACTGTAATGCTCATGTATCAGCACTTATGTTTTTTTTATGTTTCTATCTCTTTACTTCCATCTCAGTTACTTAAAAATGTGATGGGAATAGTATTTCCCTGATCAGTTTGTATACCTTAGTGTATTTAAAAGCAGGTCTGTGGGACAGAGCATCTCTTCCTTCGTGTAAACAACAAATCTTTGAAAAGAAGAGAATTCCTGTTAGGTGGTTTGACATAGCCGTAACAGAAATAATAGATTTGTTCATTGTTTTGACTTGTTACATTTACATATAATTTGCTGTTTAATGTTTCAAAGCATGAGAAAAAAATCTAGATCAATCACTATACTAGGGACAATATTTCTGAATGCTAGATAGCTTTTAGGAATGGCATCGTGCTCCTATTCTTGTGAAGTGTCTCTTCATATTGCACTGGATTTAACATAAAAAATACAAAAGATAATGAGAGAATCACAGCCACCGAAGGAAGATCAGTAGATCAGCATCGTTCTTCAGAATAAGTTATTATTATTGGTGGTGAATCATTAGACAGGGTTCTATAGCTGTGGGTTGGCAAAGAAACTAATACAAGGAGATATGGATTGAAGCTGGAGAGCTGCAGTACTAGAAAAGGCACAAAAGCAAAGGAGTAAGTGTCTTCTGTGAGTGTCTAAGATTTTTGTATCTCTGAAATAAAACAGTTTTATGACTCTCTTAAAATACAAAAATAGGAAGAACTGAAAGAACCTCAGGGTTAAAGGCCACTCCTAGTGAAATGGTAAATGATAACAGAACAATACATTGAGATTCCTGGTAGAAATAGCTATAATATGCATCTGTATCATTTCCAGTACAAGGTTTCTAGTTCTATTCCACAGTAATCCAATCTGCTTCATAAAAGCAAAGTCAAATGGTGGAAAATGCTAATCTGTTTCTGGAATAATTGTCTGTTAGATTAGGTCAGTGAATTCTGAGAAACGAATTAAAATGGAATTCTATCTGCCTTTAAAGTGCACGGAGACCAGAAGCAAAGGAATTACATGTATGTGCTTCAAAAGTGGTATAACTGATCCTGATGTCATGGTGCATTCAATTTATTATTGAGTTGGGCAGGAGGCTTCAAAACAGTTTTAATGCTTTTAGCTGTTAGGTTTTCTATTACTCTGCGACTTTGCTCGCAGTGCGAAGCAAGTCCTTTTACTTTTTTCTTTCTCTTTTAGCCATATAACAGATGTAATAAAGATTTTGGACACAGGATCCCAAATTGGACCATCCTATTACTATTTTCTTTCTATTGTCGGAGTAGTTGTTACGTCTCAGTTTGCTTTCTGGATATTTCAAAAGGTATGAGGAGTAGACCCATCTCAAAGTTTCCAATATAGCTATGAACAATTCCCCATTTCTGCAGCTTAAATATTACAGATATGTTTAGCTTTCTCAGGAATAAACACAAAGAAAAGGGAATGAACTTTTCTACTGCTGAAAAAAATCAGGTTCACACCACAAAGAAAACGAAAAACTAATGTCTGGTTAAACTGAAATGGTACCATGCCTGGCACTGCAGCTTTTTTTTTCTTTTTGAAGGAAGAATTAGCATCTTCTTCTACATCTATGGAATTACTAATCAATTCAGCTACAAATAGGGAGTTATTCACATGAAGCTGATGAAAAAGATCTTCCTGAAAAGTTCTTCTAGTAGGTGATAAGTAGATGGCTATGTGAACGCATTTCATGGTAGTGCAGATAAAGCAAACAACTTTTCACCATTTCCCAGATTAGGGAGTGAAATAAATATATTTACAAGAAAAGAAACCGTATCGAACCTTTCAGATTTTTAAACGTAGTAACATCTAGTGGGACATGATGGCAGTCCAGTTTGGTAACGTATGACAGCCATCACCACAAGCACATAGCTAAACATAAAAGAGAGAATACAAAGAGTCACAGAAAGACAGACTGATGTGCGAGAAACAGACACCAGGATCTCTGGATGCCCGTTCCCTATGCCATATACCATTCAATTTTCCATATACATTACATTTTAACACTTGCTGTAACCCTTAATATATCGAGCACGTTGTAATAAGAAATGCCTGTGTAATATACAGTCCAAGTGACACAGGAGACTTTTATAGCCCTGTAGGATAAAAACCATTCCTGTGTGGCGACTGTAATGCAACAGCATCAAAAAAGCCAGAATGAAAAAAGCCAAAACCAGAATGATCTCATGAGCACTCCTATACAGTTACAATGGTTTTACATTAAATTTTCTATAACAATTGCCTGTCATTAAATGGTAACAATTTATAGGTACTGAGAAAGAATATTGGATCACAGGGAACCAGGTTTTTATTAAGGTGAAAAAAAGGGACTTATTCATTTACCTTTTCCATTGTTGTCATTTTGTGGGTGAATATGGCAAAAGGTGATCATTCACAATAGCTGCCGAGGGCACCCCCTGAAGGATGGAGCTCTTTATCCCTCACCTATGCTTGAACAGAGCTCCACAAAGAGGATGACAAGGGATAATTTTTCCACCCTAGAGCTGGGCACCCTGCGTGTGCCTCACACCTGAATGGGACGGCGGCACAGGAGTCGGTTTCTGATTCTCTGACAGGAGAGACACTGAAGAAATCATAAGAAACCAATCCAGAATGGGGACGTGCTCGTGTGTTTACACGCAGCTGTTCTGCATACAGCATGAGGCAAAGCAGCATGAGAAATGCCACGACCAGTTCATAAGAAATAAGGGCTGTGTGTCTGCAACACTGTGCTTTTGGGGAGTAACCTATATAGTTATAAGTATATATATATAGTCCTCACTGTGCGGGGTGTAGTATGGACAGATGCTCTGTCTGGCAGAATTATATAGTCAAGAAACTCAGAGGAGGGAGAATAGGAAATAGCATTGCCCTTCTTTTACAAGTGAGAACTGAGGCACAGTTTCTTCCCCACCAAGATCAAAATGAACATCTGTGGCACATAAAAGAAACAAATCTCAGAACAACAAGTCTGAGACGCTTCTTTCTTGTGGGGGATAGCTGACACACGTGAAATGGGCTTTTTAGGGAATTTGACTTCTTTCCCAGCAGTAAGGCCTCAAGGTGTTAGATACTCTTGGAACGATACGTTACATTCAGCTGATTTACCTTTAAGTCTTTTTTTTTTTGGAAGGTATTAATTAAAGATTAAGCATTACAAAGCACATTTTTGCACTGAATTTGACACAATGCTTTTAAAGTTCATTAATCTGTTAAGTCTTGGACACTCTCTAGTGTATTAGAAAACAGTAGTGATTTACATTATTTTGGAGTTGCAAGTAAGTTTTCGAGAGTAATGGTTTTCATATATAGCGATAAAAAGATAAAGTTCCTTCATTTATGCCTGCTGACTTTTTTTCCCTATCATACTACATTTAGCAAAATGGATAAGGCAGAAAGGATGCTGGTGTATTTTTATGTTAATTAATGTATTTTAATTTCAAATAGCATTTTTGAAGCTCAGATAGCTTCCAAAAAAGCAGTGCCAGGGCAAAACTAATGAATTTTAATTCTTTTCAGTATACTTCAGCTTTCATGAATTCTTTTTGTTATATTCTGATGCATAAGAATGCATCAGTAGGCATTCAGAGCTTGCAGCCCACAGATCTGATTTTTACAGAAATCCAGTTTCACTTTTTTAGCTACATAATAAAGCTCACCTGTTATTTATAATGACCAATTGAGTAATAGGTAGAAAAATACATCCTTCAGGAACGTGGACCAACTTTTTAAGATTTTTTTTTTTCTAAACCCAGCACATTTTAAGTGACAAGTAAACTTTCTGCACAAAAGACGCGTTTAACTCTTTTGTAGGTAAATCACGCTATTCTCAGACAAATTTTAAGGGTGTGCTACTGTTGTCCCAGAGGGACTGCAGCTAATAACTTATCCTTGCAGAATAATGTATCCCTTAGGTAGTTAAACTCTGTAACTTCACCACATTAACCCGGCTCTTCTATGTCTTGGAGCATCTTGGAAAACTCTCAGCTCCTTGGGAGCACAGTTTTGGCCGTGATGCTGTGAAACAGAAATCTCCGTGGACTCTACAGTACGCCCACGGCCACCAGAGCAGGTGAAGTGACTATATTCTAATGCTGATGGTGAGGTGAACAAGAAACAGCCTTTTTTAATAGCATGGTCATTTACCGCACTGCTCTAATCCCAGATGATTTTAATAACTGTTCTTAGCTCACAGCCCCACCAGGCACAGCTTCACTGGCACAGTACCGGCCTGCCGTGATGTACTTGTGCATGCTGTCGAGAATAGGGCACAATAAGCCAGTCCTGTCCTTTGTGTAACACTTGCCATGGCAGTAATGTAAAATCAATGATGTTGTTGAGAGAGATTGTTGTTACTTGTCAGAGCAGATCATGAAAGGATGCTTCTTTATCCTTCCAAAACCATAGCATACCTGGGTTCTTGTGTAAAGCAGCAGCACTGGCCATAATTTACTGCATTGCAGTAAAATCAACAATGCAGCATTCTGCAGAGCCAGGCAAATACTCATATTTGATTTGCTAGGTGAACAGAGAGAGCAAAAATGCTTAAAAGATATAATTTTAATCACATTACCATATTTCTTGTTTGTAACGCTCCAAAACCTTCACTGTGTAACTAAAGACTGGTACTTCTTGAAACCAAAATACTGTTCTGAAACCCGATTTGAAACCATTTCTTTTATGAGTAGTGAAGTGAGTCTCACTCATTTTTCTCAGAATTCTTTCTTTTGTGGGGAGGAAAGAAAGAACAATTTGAGAAGTTAACAGTAACTCAGAGGTAAGTTCGTGTTGAGCGGAAACCAAATTTCAAAGTAAAAATTTTAGGTGTAAAAAAAGCATCTAATTTTATCTAAGAGAGACTTCACAAAGTTAGAGAGGAAATAAAAAAAAATAATTCTGTAGATGAGAGTAAACACAAACTTCTGATACTGCTGTCCAGCTATATAGGGCAGCAGTGATTTCTTTTTAATTAGAACAAAAATATATGGTCTACGCTGTCACAGCTTAGGAAATGTAGAGGTTGTCAATGGACTTTATTTTTTTTCTATGAAAACTTGACATATTATAAACATTTTTATTGTCTGTTTACAATTTACCACGTTAAACTTACCTTCTGGTAAAACTATAGTTTTTTCCCAGGTCGTCTTGAACTAATAATGCGATAGATTGTAATTTTGTTCAGTAGAAGTTTGAATGTTGAATAAATATCATTTGTTTCTAATTGAATGATGATAAAAAGAATTATTATAGTATTGAAATAATCTACTCTTAGCATAAGTTTACTGTTTGTCATTCCCGTCTGAAACATAAAGGTAAGAAAGACAACTCATCATCTCAATTCAGTGGGAGGAATCTTCATAACTGTTCAATATGTAAGAAGGATGAAGAGGAAGACGAATGCATGCTTAACTTAACCACACACTCAATACAAATAGTGGTAGGCTTTATGGAGTGAGGATTCACCTATAATCCAAGATTTCCTTAGTTAGCCAAATAAAATTTAGGTGTCAGAATTTCCTTGGTAACAACCCCCCCCACAACGTTGTGGTAACAACACCACCACGTTATCTGTATGAAGATTGCACAAATTCATTAAAATCCAAATCCTTTGTGGCTAATGGCAGATTTCCTTCTAGAATAAAAGACCTTTTATACAGAATTATCAGCACTATGAATTCTCAAGTGAAAGACACGTGACTTCACAGGTTTGAAACACATGCTAAGAGAGGCTTGAAAAATGTAAAATGGAAGCCTTAGCCAAAGGTGTTTTATTTCAGGGCAGACTACGTGAAATAACTTTCATCAGTTAACCACTAACCACTGCACTGTATAGTAACTCTACGTTATCGTTCCAGGTACCTGGGAATAACGAGACCTCTTACGTACCCTGTAAGGCAGAATGGGAAGTGTATGGCCAAAATGATCCTGTGTGTTTGGCTCTTATCTGCCTCTATCACTATACCCCCTCTCTTCGGTTGGGCCCAAAATGTAAATGATGAAAAGGTTTGTTTGATCAGTCAAGACTTCGGCTACACCATTTACTCCACAGCAGTTGCGTTTTATATTCCAATGTCAGTGATGCTTTTCATGTACTATCAGATTTACAAAGCTGCCAAGAGGAGTGCCGCTAAACACAAGTTTGCTGGTTTTCCCCGGCAAGAGGAAATGGAAGGGATTTCTATGAATGGAGTTGTAAAACTGCACAAAGAATCTGAAGAATGTACTAATTTTTCACGACTCCTAAAGCACGACAAGAAAAACATTTCCATCTTTAAAAGAGAACAGAAAGCGGCCACTACGCTTGGGATTATCGTTGGGGCTTTCACTGTCTGCTGGCTGCCCTTCTTCCTCCTCTCCACCGCCAGGCCCTTCATCTGTGGGACAGCGTGCAGCTGTATCCCGCTGTGGGTCGAGAGAACATTTCTATGGTTGGGTTACGCAAACTCTCTCATTAACCCTTTTATATATGCCTTCTTCAATCGAGACCTAAGGACAACTTATCGCAACCTCCTGCAATGCAGATATAGGAATATCAACCGGAAACTGTCAGCTGCAGGGATGCATGAGGCTCTGAAGCTTGCAGAAAAGCCAGAATTTGTTCTGTAAGGTTACTCATCCTTTACTATGATAATTTATCGTTTTATCACGTTAGCTTTCCCCCCACAGATATGAAAGAAGAGTTATGGGAAGAACCAGGCTTCTTGAGCACTGTCAATGCAGTCGTCAAGAAACTGGAAGGTAGCAAGGTTAATTCCTGCACAGCCCACCAGTCCTAGCGAGCCGGGAAAAACAAGACCACCATCTAAAGAATGTGGATGTGACAGAAATACCAGAAAGGGGGAGGGTAAAAAGTGGTGCAGGACGTTTGAGTCGCTAGTGAGGAAAGAGCAAAGTTGGCCTAACCTGTTTGTTTGGCCCTTGGCCCCAGACAACTTTTAGTAGCTCTGAATGTTGGATGCATCTTGTATCCTTGAGATTTTTTTTTCTCTAATAAAGACCTGAGAATGGTGAAAAGTTCAGTATAATTAATTGTTTTCCACTTTGTTATTATAAAAATAAACCATTTAAGAAGAAGCTGGGTCAGAGAACTTACACTGCTTAGAAATACTATTTATTATAAAAAACCATATGTCCATTAAACATTAATTTACTGGATTGCCTGGAAATAAACTACTTTGTGAAATTTAATGTTGCCTTTGCACAGCAACTGTGGTACTGAAAGAATGTTATGCTTCCGATGTGAATATAAGAGTTTGAGTAAAGTCACATGGACCAACATCTATCACTGCATACAGTCATGCAGCACAATTAGCTGCAGCTCTGCTATGCCAATTACACCAGGTAAAGATCTTGTGCTATATTTCTAACATAACAAATATGTCTGATTCCAGTTTATTTCAGGAGCTTTCTGGTCTTTGTCCATCTTTTCTTTCTTTAATTCTCTTGGCTTTATCAGTTGAGCCCTTCTCTAATCTAAATGGAGACTCTGTCTGTGCTCAAGTAGTTTCTGTTGATGTATGGCTCCTCTTTGTTCCACTTCAGCAGTTAATTTACTGTCAATTTGAAAGCTCTTCTAACTTCTTGGGATTTCTTTCTTTTCTGAAGTCAGTAAGAAAAAATAAACGTAAGACTTTATAAGATGCAGAGATACCTGGACTTTATCCTTACACACTGATTTTGGTCATCACTTTGGCTTAAAATGATTTAAAACTCTGCATTGTGTAAGAATCAAGATAATTTACTGTTTCTAGTTGTTTCCCCCACCACTGCAGCTCATCCAAATATGTGATTCTACTTTTCCTGACTTTGGTAACAAAGCTCTTCCCTCAATGGAGCAGGATCAAATATTACAACAATATTTGTATTTAAAATTTAGTAATAATAAATGCATTAGTTATATTAATATATTAGTAGTAATGTATTAATATAAAAAGCACTGATTATGTAATATATTGCTATAATAACCTAAAATAACAATAAACTCAGAACAACTCATAAGAACAAGATGCTTTTTCTGGACCGAGTTCACACTGCACACCACGTTCCAGATGAAGCACAGGGTACATTAGTGAACAGAGGCTATTTCAGAGCTCCATCTACTTTTTCAGATATGAAGGAGAAGACAACACGTTCATTACCAAATTGCCTCGGCTGCAAATCACACTTTAAGCTAACCTCTCTCCCCACTTTCCCAAGGATGAAGGCAAAATGACTTAAATGAGTTCAGTGATGTTAATTTGGACTAAGTAGTGAGAAGTTTGTGCCAGATGCCTCGTTCAAAGCGTACAGGCATTATTGCAAATGTTTGAGCTTCTAAGTGGCAGATACACAAGACCTGGATCGATATGCTGAGCTATGTGTACTGCAACAAGCTTAAGCCATTTTAGATAGATTTATACACTATGATACATACAGTAGGAAGTACATTTTGGCCTCATTTCTAGAGATGGGTCACAGTTTTGTAATAGTAAGAGACAGGCTATATCCCAGCTTCAAAAGTTTTCTAAAGAAGTTTCAAATTGATTTGGAATGGTCCAATTTCTTTTAAATATTCCAAAAGTATTATGCGCAGAGGGACAAGAAGAGATTTTGGCGCAGAATACCCACAAGCTCTGTAGGACAGAGTAGAGCTGATCTTAATTCAAGCATATTTTCCATATTCTGCATGAAATGAATGATGTTTCCGACTCTGTTACCTGCCAAAGCAGCATTTAATTTTTAGTTCCTAGCATAAGTGAGGAGTTCACAGGTCTTCTGTAATTATTTTCCCTCTGAGAGGATATATAGGAGAATATATAAATAGAAGTATCTGTGAAGATTCCAAGTAGGATTATAAAACTCTGAAGCTGATTTCAGAATTCTGGATGGAAAAGTTTCATCCATTTTTATTCTGCAGTAAAGTCTAAGAGGTTGTATTTCCTTCAAATAAGATTTTTTTTTTTTAATGAAATATATATCTTATGAGTCAGAAAATTGACGTTTACCCAACTGTCACTAAAGGCAATTGCTTTCCTCAGGGAAAGTATCTTGCAGGACTCCGCCTCTCCTCTGCCATCTGTTTCAGGTAATGAGAACCCAGGAAAGGACAACAGTTATCATGGGCTGTGTATCAGTCCTTGAAATTTTTGGAGATAAACAGCTGCCTTTCATCTCTGGATATGTTTGGAAAGAAAAGAAAAACAACAGAAAAAAACCAGTTTCTTCATACAGCCAAAACAAAACACAACTATGTGGCAAATGGAAGCTGTTGTTAGATGGAGCTGTATTTGAGGGAAAAAGTAAAGAACTTCAGAAGTTCAGAAGAATGTCCCATTAACCCAATCACATGGGTAACATGGTGTTAAGATGAGAAAGCTTTCAGAGAGAGCTCTGACTAAAAGAAGCTTAGGTGAGAAGCACAAGAAAATAATCGCTTGGGTTAAAGAACAGGACTTTTTACTATTGAAAAAGATAAGTAAGTAGACCTGCATCAAAATACCACACTGCAGCAGTAGTGTTTTTTTAAATTAGATAATTCACTATTCATCTGACAAAGAGGTAACATATCAATGGATGAACAAGAAGTGTATGTCATCGTGTGCAGCCTGGTACGTGCTGGTACCAAACCCTAAAAGAGTTTGCACCCTTGGTCTGTGCGGCCTTTCCCACGTTTCTAAGAGACAGTGAGGGAGGTGAACCAAACAGATGTGTTTGCCAGAGCATCGGGAGGCCAGCACAACACTGAACAGAACCAAAACAGATAAAGAAAAAGGTGACATATGGGAAGCAAAACATGGAAGCAGTTCTAAGTTTCAGACTTGTGATTGGATAGTTACTTTGGGGAAAATATGCAGAAGTGTAGAGGCAACAAGGGTACGTATCCATGACTTTGAGGATAAAGACATAAACCTTTCTAAAATATGCTTGTACAATCCCAACGGAAAGACTGTCACTACCTCATTGCTTAAAGGGGAGCTGGGTTCTGCAGGGCAGCACTGCTCTAGATTTAACAAAACTCTATTTTTATTTTTATTTTTTTTAAATGTAGCAGCAGCACAAAATGAATCTTGAATTTTGGTAAGATCTGTTGAGATATAAAACCAATGTTTCTTTTTAAGAAACAGTGCATGCTCTCTAAATCCACAAACTGTAGTCACAGAAGGGCATGGATGACGGTGACAGCTAACTGTAACCCCACTCCTGGGAGGCTGGGAAAGCTTCAGCTATCTTATCCTCAAGTCACAGGCCGAGATGTGAGAAATCCCATGTTACCTACAGAGTGCAAAAGACTTGAAATATTGGACGATCTCAGGTTTTCTGCGAAGGTGGCTGTCACTTTGTGTAACGTTCGAGTGTTTGAAAGGGAAGGCTGGAGTGGGTCCTTACGTGCACAGGGCGGCACAGTCTGGGAAACAAGAAAGCCTGGAAAAAGCTATCATAGAGAGTAGGTTTGCCCATTAACTATAGTGCAGAACTGGCCTTACCCCAGCTGGATTTTTTGTCTGAGGACACTCAATGCATCGTTTATTATTAGCTACAGTATCCACGTGCAGTGTTTCCAATTAGAAAGCTTAATCTTGTTGTATATCCCAGAGCATCTTCTTACCAGATACAAGGTCTGAAATTGGTTTCTAGCCACTATGTGATTTCCTGATGGTGATGGTAGCAGGAAAACGGGACCAAGTTTTGCTTCCGTTTACTAGGCTGACAAGTTTTTTAAACAATTGTGCGTAGTTCACACACATGTTGCAGTTGTGTTTGTTTTTCCGATCTCACTAGGCTGTTTAGCCCTTTTGCGTGCTCTGTATCTCTCGAGTGGGAGTTCACCTCTCCTTATTCAGGGAGGGAAGAAGTCACCACAATGCACTTTCAGATTGGGGCTTTTTTTGCTTTTCTGATTGGTATTTCTGGAGAAATGTAGCCAGCTATACTGGCTCAGGGGATGATCGCTCAGCTACACCATGCCTAAACACTGGGGAAAACACGGTAAGACTTGAGAAAAACACTGGGAAATGCTCAGGCAGTGATTTCAGAGTGATTACCATAGTCTATGCTAAAAGCTGAGGAAATGAGGAAGCAGCTGTGCAGCTGCTGCCAGCATCCAGACCGCCTCCTCATCCAGCACGAGCAGCCACTCAGTCACAGTCTTCAGCTGCAGCCCGAGACCTTCAGTTGCTGCCAGAATTAGCTAGACATCAACACAGGGAGATGCCAGTCAGACCTTCTTTATACGCCTCTTTGTTCACCTCTAAAGTGTATGCAAAGGTCCTCGAGAGCAGCTACTGAGTGAGGCAGCTCCCTCAAAGGAGTTTTAGTCACAGCTGTGCCAGAGATCCTTCCCTGAGCCTACTTCTCAGTATCACAAACACATTTTACCTAAAATAAGCCTCAGCTGTGATGAAAATCAAAGCCAAAGAGCAAAGCTCTGAAAGGGGCATAAAGGAGATTATCTTTACACAGGTCATTATATGGTATTAGCGATACCCAATCTATAATTTATTCATAAAGGTAACGCTAGTTCTCAATGGATACCAGGTGAAAGGGTCCCGTATGAACCTCCTTTACTTGGAACAGTCTTTCCATAGCATTGCCCACGCCTGTAATATAGCAACTAATGTACGGGTTGTACTTTACTGGGAAGTCCTTTGCATCCTTCTAGTCTCATCCTGCTCAGATGCACCGTATTTATGTCATTTTTCCTCAATAAACAGGGCCCAAAGCAGCTTACAGTAAGGGTTTTAGATGAATAGGCTGAGACTGAACCATTCTCCTCCGTGTAAGGAATGCC